TATTTCTTTTTTATTAATTATAAATTTTAAATATTTTGTTTTTTTAACATAGAATTTACATTTAAAGAGCTGTAGATAGAGTCTGTACTTTCTAAGCTATTCTAAGACTTTTTATACCTTCTATATGTAGTCTTCTAAGGTATCTTTTAAGTAGATAAGGACATTATCTAAATATACTAAGGTAAAGACATTAAGGTATAAGTTAAGAGCTATATTAATAATTTACTAAAATATTACTAAGGCATTTATTAAGCTAAATAGCATTACTAGTAACTTATAGAGTCTTTACAAAGTCTTAAATGCTATAAGCTATTTATCTTCCTTTTATATTTTTATCTTATTAAATTTATTTTGTACATTAAACTTTATAAAGTACTAGGTTCCTTTTAGTTAGTTTATAATATCTTATATAATTAGTAAAGAGAACTAGTTTTAAATTATGTTGTTATTTAAAGTTCTATAGTTCTAACACACTTAAATTTTTTCTTTTTTTTTTTTTACAAAAACTACTGCTAAGGCTACTAGGCTGTAGCTTTTTTAGATATAGCCTTATACTAGCATTTTATTAATGTATTTCTATAAGGCTTTTTTTTATACTTTTATTAGAGAGTAAAGCTTGTAGGTTTTTAAATTATAATTTTTTATTAAGTTAATAGTGTAATCTTAAGGCTAATGCAGTAGTAGTTCTTTTAAGTCTTTTAGTGTTTTAAACATATCCTTATAATTCTTATATTTAGACAGGATGTAACTTTTATTTTAGGTTTAAATAACACTAATTTATTTTATATTCTTATCTGCTTTAATTTCTTTATAAAAGACTTTTTTAAGCTTTTTTTTTATTATTTATATTACTTAAGCTTTTAGCTTTTAGTAAAGAAATTTCTAAAGCTTTCTTTTCTTAGAGTAGTAACTACTACTCTACTTTGCTTATTTATAGACTAGGCATTTGTTGTTATAGCATGCTAACTAGGTTATGTATGCGTAGTTGTCTAGAGTTTCTATAGTTATAGTTCTCTAGTTAATTACAGAATTATGTGTTTTAAGCTAGTTATAGCCTAGAATTATGTTATATTTGCCTTCTAGCTTAAGTATGTTTATAGACCTTTAATTACTTATGTTAGAAGTCTTAAAGTTTTTTTTATAAGTTTTTAAGTTAATCTATTCTCTACTATACTTAATTAATAAAGTGTTAGTAAGAGTTACTTTAAATAAGTTTTTTTTTATTTAAAATAGTATACTTTATTTATCTACTTATTTCTTATCTATTGCAGTAAAGGTGCATCTGCTGTCTACAAGGGCTAGTCTAGGCTACCCTTTATACATAAAGGTAGTTATTAGGCTGTGTCCTGCCCCTTATCTTACTATAATTACTACTAATATGTTATGTTTAACTTCTTTATTAGAAAGGGGGTAGAAGTTAATGTCTTATAAGTTGTTATTAAATTTTTTTTTTTTTTTTTATAAATTTAATGTTCTTAATTATAGCAGTTAGCTGCCTTATATTTATAATCTTTAACTAAATAATGTAACATTAGGTAGTCTTTTTTTCTTACTACTTTCTACTAAAAGTAGTAGAACTTATAATTTTTTTATTTATTACACTTTATCTATACTTCTTATTTGTAAGGAGGAGCTGTCTAACAAGTGTAACAATTTATAGTTTTGCAGGCAGAGGCTGTTCCCTGCTATAGGCAACTATTATAGTTTCTTTCTTATGTAGGCTACTATCCTACTTAATGTTTGTTATTTTAGTGTTTAACACAGTATTATTGTGTACACTAGTACTAGGGGTATAGGCAATTGTTAGGTCTATATAACATATTAAAAGGACTTTCTTAGGTCTACTAAGAGTATTCTTTTATTTGTACTAGCTGTACTAGGTGATTTTTCTATTAGTAACTATTAGTGCTATAGGTACTACTTTTGCAAAGAACACATTATTTATAATTTTATTATATTATAAGAGCCTTTCTAGAAATTACTAGGCTTAGAAGCAGTGTCTTAGGTTTCTTAGGCGCTAGTTGTAGTACTTTAAACTTAGTAGGTTTACCTAGCTATTCTAGCTTTTAATCTTTAATTTTAGTAAAAAATAGCTACTACTTTTTTTTATTTATAATGTTATATTTAACTTTAGCTATTCTTTATATAATGTTAAATGTTAAGTAGTTATTGCTAATGTTTATTTAGTAAAGTAAAACTATATAGTTGCTTAGGTAGTTATGTTATAACCTGCACTTCTAGCACCTACATCTTTAAAACTAATAAGACAGCTTTTTTGCTAAAGTACTAGAGGTTTAGTTTTAGAGAGGGAATTATTTTTTTTTTTTTAAACATTTATAATATATCCTTAAATTTAAGTCTTTTTTTTATATTTTTTAAAAATTATAAGGTTCTGCAACACTATATTAAAGCTACTAAAATTTTAAATAACTACTTTTTAATACACTTTAAAGTAGTTATTTAAAGAATAGTTTTTTTTGCATTACTAGTAAAGTCTATTATTTAGTCTTTCTTATATTTCTTTATCTGTAAGGCTATATTTAGCAGTAATAGCTTTTATTATTATAGTAGTATTTTTATTCTCCTTCTTCTAAAAGTCTAGGCAGTTTTAGCAGAAATGTCCTACTTTTTTATAGTTTAGGCAGGCCTTATTTTTTAGCTACTTTTATTATTTTTTTATTAGAGGTGGCTTATTACATTCTAGAACTTAGCTCTTTTTAAAGAAGAGGCTTTATGTATGCTTTACATAACTAAGGTTTATTAGCTTTTTATTATATTATAAAAGCTTTTTCTTTTTAGAGATAAATTCTAGTTTTTAGAAGGTTCTCTTTAATTTCTTTTCTTTTTTACATTTTTTATAGTAGTTATTATAAGTTATTACTTTCTTAATGTAGTCTTTAAAAGTAGTTAGTTAGTTTATGTGCATAAACTTATCTTTTACTTTGTTATTTAGTCTGTTATAAAACATGCAGCATAAGGCCTTCTAGTTGTTTTATCTGCAAATAGCTATTTATTCTCTAAAGTGCGCTGCATAGTTTTAGACTAGTCTGCTACCTTATTTTATGTTGTCTAGTTTGTTAGCTGCAATTTTTTTTTTATTTAGAGTCCTATAAATAGCTAATAAAGCTGCTTTAAAATTTTTAACACTACTAAATACTTTCTTAGTCTTAGGGTTAAGTAGTGTGCTATTAGCTCTAAAATCTATCTAATTATTAGCATAAAGTTAGAACTAGATTGTAAGAGGGCTTTTTAAGTATAGTTCTATCTAAAAAATTATTTCTATGTTAGTTTAAAATGCTCTTTTATTATATTACATGTAAAGGTAGTATCTAGTAAAGAATAGTTAAAGGTTCTTTAATAATTTTTTAAAAAGCTTTAAAAAAGCTAGTCTTAAAGCCTTTTTAGCTGCAACACTTACTTTATTTATTAAAATGTTTTAAACTTTAGCTAGTTCTACTTATAATTTATGTATCTAGTAGGCTTAAGTATTAGCCTTATAAAGGCTAGTAAAAGGCAGAGGGTTTTAAAAGTTTATAGTTTTCTAGTAAAAGTTAGCTATTTTTTATTTAAGTTTTAATAACTTACTAACTTTATTACTAATCTACTAGAGTTTCTTAATGTTGTCTTAGATTAAGTTAATCTATTCTGCTAAGATAGCTTTACTTTAGGTAGAAACTTTTATAGATCCTAATAGCACAGCGTAGGCTATATTAAAATCTAGATTATGTTATAAGGTTGCTATACTTTTTAGAGGAGTAGTGTTTAATGTTATAATTCTTACTTTAGGAAGCACTTAGGTCTTCTAATATTCCTAGGGGAGAAGTAGGACAGATAGTAGGGGCTAATCTAGTAAGGTGTACAGTCCTACGTACAGGCTATTAGGCTAGTGGAGAGAGGAAGGGTGACTAGATTGTAGTTTGCCCTATGTGCAGCAGTAGAGAGGCTAGGGTTAAATAGTCCTTTTAGACAGGGTTAGAGGTATATATAGTGCAAGATATATAATTAGTATTACAGCTCTTTAAAAAGCTAAATGCTACTTAGTTTATATAAAAAATAAACTAAATATTAAACACACCTTTTAAAGGTTGTTTAATAGAGGAACTATATATATGTGCTAGGGCGCTAAGGGGAGCTAGAGGAGTTTATAGGAGCCTGCTAAGGAGAGCTCCTTAAGCTCCCTTAAGCTCCTCCTAGTACGCGGCCTTTCCTTCTATTAGACAATGCATTCTTCCATAATTTCAGGCAGTCGTGCCGCTTCCGTGTCCTCCGACTGGTTCGTAGGCGAGCCCTGTCCCAATCCAGCTAGACTGTGGAGCACTGCTGGTGGGGTTACGCTGGTCCAACCGTAGACCGTAACAGTTACGTCTTATTTAAAAGCCTAAAGTATAAGCTATATCTAATGTTCTTTTAGCACGTCTAAGTAGTGTTATTAGAAATGTATTAGTATAGAAAAAGTAGTTTAGTAGAGTCTTAGTAAAAGTAAGTAACTTAGGTGTGTAAGCAACTTGCCTATAGTGTACGTTGTAGTTTTAGCAAAAGTAAGCAACTTAGGTGTATAAGCAACTTGCTTGTAGAGTACGTTATAGCTTTCACTTTTTAGCGTTTATACTTTAGTAAGCTATAGAGATCTATAATAAGCTATAGTCACGTGACCCGTGACATAAGCTGCCGCGCACATCGTTGTGTTTTCATCATGCCAGTCCTCTAGACCTTGCATGTCTTCAGCGACGTCTGCTTAGTTATCGCAGCCTGTTGCTTTTCATTCGTCACCTTGCGTTTTACACTGTAGATCTACTTTTGGTAATAAAGAAAATAGCAAGCATATTATCTACTTCTTTATAAACGAATTAAGTAGCAGTTGGTAGAGGCATAGTAGCTTAAAGTTTAGAAGATGTAGAAAGTTAGTTAGGGTAGCAGCTTGCTGATAGTAGCAGCTTGGTTGACATAAACGTTGTTTATAAATGCGTAATCATAATAACATTCATCATTAAGCATGGGTATCATAGATTCCCCAGGAACACAACTAGGACTGCGCAGTATCTGTAACACTGTTAGCTCTATGTTGTGTTTATTATCACGTTTTAAACACGAACAACTATATGGTAGTCAGAGTTATAGAAGATCAGGGTTGACTACTTGAATTTAACAATTGCAGATGGGAGCGGCAAGGCATAGAAGGAGCAAATTATTTTCAAAATAAAGAAGTAACATTAACTATCACGAATAAAATATTGACTTACGCAGCAGTGGCGGCGAACACTTCGTGCCTCTTCGCTTTTGTACACAAGCTTAGCGCTACAGAGAATGCCATTGTGAATAGGAAGATAATCAAGATCTTGATGCTAGCGCGTTGATTTATACCGAACAATGCAATGACGGGAGCCATTAATAATATGACGGCGAGGAAGGTGATGACAAGGCGTGAGAAAACGTCAATACGTTTCTTGGAGTAGAGTCTGACAAGCTTGTCAGATGTGCTACTGCGATCGCGTTTAGAGATGAATATTTTCTACGTATTTATGTCAGCAACGGCTGCGATTTGAAGAAGTCGAGCGCGGGAAAGTCGGGTAGAAGCTAGGTGAGGGAGGTGCATACCCTCGTGAATGAGCCACCGAATTTAGACAAAGCCGTTTCGACACGGCCATCAAACCAGCTACCTTCCTTTGCATCAACAATTGCCACGAAGTCGCGGTCTTTGTCGAAGGTCGAAGCTTCGGCTTGTACTAAAGGTGCACTATGATGTACCCAGTTCCACACACTCTTGTGATTGCGCTCTGTTGCTCGTTGTAATGACGCGAAAGATCTGGTACGCTGCACAATATCGTTGTATTCCCGAAGCTTGTCATCGATTCTATTGATCAACGCTCGCCTCTCGTCGGTCTTCATTTCCTCGCGTGTGCGACACTTCAACATGGTGTCATCCTTCTTTTGGGCAGCCTTGTCCATAGACAATAGCTCTTGTTCGAGCTCGCGCAGTTCGTCCTGACGATAGAGGAGTACTCGATTATGTAGGAAGCCGTACTTGCGACAGATCAGGAAGTTCTCGTCGCTATTGAGCAGGGCCGCTAGACGGGGGTAGCCATTTGGATGGTCGTCAACTGCACTCATATGCATCAGTATTCGCCCAGCGTTTCAATATATGAGCGGTCACAGCATTACGCACTCCTCTGGTAATCCAAAGCGTTCACATCAGCAGCCTCGCCGTCTTCAGACTCGGCTATATCTTCCTCGATATCGTCCAAATTTGGAGAGACTGACGAAGAGAGACCAAGATAATGGCTGAAGCTTCGATCGATAGACTTGGGAGATTGGCTCTCTAGATCTCTCTTTTCGATGTCGACCCCACAGACGGTCGAATTGTCGCTGCTATACGACGTATGTCGTCCATTCCTGGGAGGGGTTTGTGGCGTTTCGGCCCCATGATGAGACTCCATAAATTCGAGCGTGTACGTGAAGCTAGAAATAACCCCAAAGACCAGAGTTCACCTGTGGCTAGTGTCGATATTCAACGCTCAAAGAACGGGCATCAAACGAGGGATATAGTGGGTGTGGATCGGCTCCCTCAGCTGCAGCATGAGGGCTGTGCAAGGGGGCTTTGACTGGTCACCAGCCACATCAATGTCCATCAAATGTTGGAGAACAATGTAGTATTGACAGAAGCGTTGCGATTGGATACCCTCGTCGCACTGCATAGCACACCCCCCAAAAGGAATTCATCAGCCACCCCCGAACAGCTGAGAATCGGCCCCCAAGTCTCGCAAGTTTGCCTTCGGCCCTTCCCTCGCTCCTCATCAACAAATCCCTCGGAAACGCCGTAATCCCATGTAATTCTCCCGCTAGCTGCCGCCTTTGCACCTCCTGTTGATCACACAATGACAGACCCGGAAATGTTGTTCTTGGTTTTTCCGGACCCGTCGCTGATGTCGTACCGCCACTTCTCAGAGCGATTTTGCGGAGCGTGAAGCTTGACGATAGAAAAAGGACCAGCCGTGCGCCCGTCCTTCAGACGTAAGAAGACACTATCGTTCAGCTTCCAAGGCGAAGGTGGCTGTTACTGTCATCAACGAGTTGAAACAGTTGAAAGTGCATGTGTGTGAAGGCACTTACGGCCTGCCACCTTCCTGGCCCGATGTCAGCCCTGTATTCGGGGGCGTCTTGCGTCTCCATTTCCGGTGACATAGGAGGAGAGATGTCCTGTGCGCGTCAGTACCGCACTGTCACGAGGGTCTTGAGGAAGACCCACGTCGAGCTTGTCGGTTGTTGCTTCGTCCATCGCTTTCTGCCTCGCTTCGGATGTCGCTTCGTTCGTCGCCATTGCTGCAGGTGCAGATTGAAATGTAGGCCCTTCTTCAGCCTTCTCTTATAGTGAGTCCTCCTGGCCGGTGAACGATGACAAAGTGTCAGGCAGGCAACAAGGCTCAAGGCGCCAGGATGTATTGTCCCACGAATGTCAGGTGCGATACTGCGAACAGTGATGCACTACCCTGCGCTGCCCAACGAATGAGGGTGGGGGCCAGAACACCTAGTGTGAAGAACAACAAGCCATCGACAGCCCGACGGGAAGGGTGACAAGTGGCAGCCCTACGAAAGATACTGCGGCTAGATTTAGTCGCATCTGCATGCGTTTCCTGGTTAACTATCTGGAGAGCCGCATTTGCGACGGTTGGATGTTCTGGGACTTCGGTCGGTGCTTGCAGGTCGTGGAGCTTTGCATGTGATGTTTTCAAGTCAAAGCACTGGCCGGGCGACAAGCGCTCATCATACAGTGTAACAGCTTTTGACCGGCTCCAATCAAATAGGCCTACATTCCTCGGCTCCTTTTCGAGAAATTGCTCGCTGGTAGACGCCTCTACGACCGGAGAAGAGGGAGGGGTAGTGTCGGTCCTACGAAGCTGTTGCGCCTGCCTACCGTCGCGCCGACGCCGGATTCGCGCAAGCAGTGGTCGCAGACGGTTCGCTAGGTGTACGGTTCGCATGAACTGGCTCAGGTCGCTTTCTGGGCTATGCATGTTCTGCAAGTCGGCTTTCCGGACGAATGGTATGTACTGCAATGCTTTGACCAGTTTGTTCAATTCGGCCAGGTCAGGACTTTTTGTGAGCTGGAAGCGGACATCGATAGAGTATTTCGAGTCCACAGCGGTGGTGGCACTTCCCAAATTGGTGGTTGATTCGTCCTTCTGTCGACATGGCCTCAACCAGATTCTTCCAAAATCAAACCTCGATTGCGTGAAGTGGAACGGTTTCAGAGCCCGATGCTGCTGCTGATAGACTTGACGATAGAGATCGGAGGTAGAGAAGCCCTCCGGAATCTCTCCAATCATCTTTTTCAACGTGGTCGTGAGTATCTTGGTGAAAGATCCTTCTTGACCTGGCGCTCTAGCCCAGTCTTTCTCTGCGATGGAGCAGAAAAGTTCAGATTTCCTGCCGCCGAAGGGCTGGTCGGTGAATGCTCCAGCAGCAAAACAGCTATCAACGATCATAAGGATATCCGTCTCACATGTCTTGAGTTGTTCGCAGATCTTCTTGAAACTGACATGGGGCTGCTGGGGTCTGTCTTTCGCGATTGATTTCCCATCCACCGGAGACTCGGGGAGACTGATGTCACTGAGCGTAGTGTTTGTTCTCGATAGCTTGGCTGCAGGTGCTGTGTGATGTGTCCGCCTCGCAAAGAGCTCCAGATCGATTCCTTCGGCGTTTTCTACTCTCTCGGCATGGCCGCCTATATTGTTAGCCAGGTGGTCAGCAAATGAACCATGTGTAATCTCTATATAGAAAGACTTACCATAGTATATAATCCCTAGCTTGGAAGGGCCATCGTAACAGTCAATGAATGCTTTTAACCTCGTAAAGAGTATCTCATCCGATTGTGTGGGCGGTATCTCATATTGCTCGGTGCGATAGTTGAACTGATCTTTGAGAACCTTCTCCAATGCGTTCACCTAACATCCGCTCGTTAGTTTAGGAGAGACGAATTAGTCTCTCTAGACCGCCGTACTAACCTCTTTTTCCTTACAATTCATATCGTCTTCCCTCCAGGTAAGGAGTAGCGCACCAACGACATCATACTCGGCGTTTCCATCGCGATAACATCCTGCGATCGATTTGTTAAATTCGACCTGTGCAATCTTGCGATCAAGACGAAAAAAACTATCGCGAGTTGCCATGTCATCTAGGTGCGCAGCTCGGCGGAGATGTTGCATGCACTGAACAATGACGGTAGTAGCTGAGAAGGGATCGAGCTGTATGGATCAAAGCTCCTGATATGTATGTATTGGAATGAATATCGTTGCACCGCAGCTGAGAGACAACCTTGGAATGACGCGGAAAAGAGGGCCAGAAAGCGGGCACCGGATTCGCCGAATGAACAGCCTCCAAACCGCCCCCAACATGTTCGCATGTGCGCCACAATCACCTAACCCCTAAAACGTACAGTGGATGGCTCATTCTGGTTGTGTGAACGACTGCCGTCCATATGTCAGTCTTTATTCTATAACTAGGCGACGGCAGCTATAGATGTAATAGTTGTTTCTGTACCCACGTAATGAGAGCAGCAAACCCATCAGCACTTTAAGATTATACATACCCGTTTCAGATAGGGCATTTCCCACACCAAGCGCGATCGGTCTGATCCACCAAGTTTGACTCATACACAAGATACTGTACCCTTGCAGGGGCACGAGTTCTAAGAGGAGTCATGCATTGTAGACTAAGGGTCTAAGGAGCTATATAGTTTATATTAACGTACTTCACGAGCGAGTTGTTCACACACCTAAGTTGCTTTCTTTTGCTAAGACCCTACTACACTACCCTTTCTATACTAATGCATTTCTAATAACACCACTTAGATGTGTTAAAGAAATATTAGATGTAGCCTACACTTTTAGCTTTTAAATAAGACATAATACTTTTTAAGTAACACACTACAGCTATTTATAAAGTCTGTTAAAAGATAATAAGTAACTAATGTAAGGACGGAGCTCTGTACCACTACGCCAATACAACTAAAAAGGTGCGAATAATTAACCAACGTTAATTATTGCGTACAGAATAGTATATATACCCGTCGCACGTAAGCACCATCTCAGCCTTACACGTAAGCGCCATCCCAGCCTTACATTATCCCCCTTCTTAGCAGACGCATGTCCCAGGCGTCACATGACCTACCCGCAGCTCAGAGGCGCCTATGCGCATGTCTCGGTTACCGGCCAGAGGCTGACCACCTGCGGCCTAAAGGCGCGGGATAAAATAACAACGCAACGTTTAGTGGCCCACGCCAGCTAAGCCATATACACTAGACCTCCTAGCAGCAACAACGTGGCGCTAGAAGAGGCCGCCTCACGTTTTAGTCTATAAACTAGCTAAGCTGTCTAAGGTGTAGGTTAAACACGCAAACATCCTTGTTGTTAGTTAATTATTATGTAAAGAACAGGGCTCTACACTACTCTGCTAATACAACTAAAAGGTATAAATAATTAACCAACGTTAATTTTTAGGTGCAGAATAGTATATATACCTGTCGCACGTAAGCGCCATCTCAGCCTTACAGTAAGCACCATCTCAGCCTTACACGTAAGCGCTATCCTGGCCTTACAACTAACACATTAAATAATTTTTTAAAGCTAATTATATAGCTAACTTATAAAAGCTAGACAATAATAAAAAGAAGGTAATTATTTAGCACATACTTAAGCTAGATGCGTAAGGGTTTCCCCTCTAGCTAGTAGCTATAGCTAATGTAGCTAATTCTTTACACACTAAGTATAAACTAGCTTAATATATTTATTAAGTGCTACTTAGAGCTTAAAGTAAAGGTTAAGTGTAAGTATAATTTAAAAAAAGCTTTTTATAAAATTTTTATAGTAATTTAAAGCTAGTCTAACTTTATAAAGAATATTAAAGCTAAGGATAGCATCTAGAATAATAACATATATAACTTTAATAAAATAAGGTTTATAACAGGCTAGATATCTTCTAAAGTAGCTATTATAAGTTTAGAGAGATAAGGATAGCTAAAAGCAGTCTAGCTAGGTAACTAGAAGTAGACAACAGCTATTTAGAGTATTAATGCTAAAAAGTAGGCTATTTTACTTTTTATTATTTTTTAAGGTAGTAATTACTTTTTAAACTAGTATAAATAATTTTACTTTAAAATTAAGTTATTATAGTTTTTAAGCGTAGCTAGACTACTAATTAGCTTAGTCTAGACTAGTTACAGCACTTCAACACGCATATAAAGAAGCATACTATTAGCAGCTACTATTTACTAGTTATTAATAGCTATAAAAGCTCTAAGTTACTTTATTTTTAGTAATACTATAAAAATAATAAGATTATTACTATTTATATACTTTTTTGCTTATTACACTTTTTATAGCTACTTAATGTAGGTTATTTTACTTTTTTTTAAAAAAGTATAAACGTACTTCACAGGCGAGTTGCTTACACACCTAAGTTGCTTACTTTTGCTAAGACCCTACTAAACTACCCTTCCTACACTAATGCATTCTCTATAACACTACTTAGACGCGCTAAAAGAACATTAGATACAGCTTACACTCTAAGCTTTTAAATAAGACATAAAACTCTTAAAGAAACATGCTGCAGCTATGTGCAAGGTTTTATAAAAAATAATAAATAACTATAGTACTAGATAACCTTTACAAGCTAATTCTACAGCTAAATTATAAAGGCTAAGTAATAAAAAGAAGCAGGTAATTATTAAGACTATACTTAAGCTATATATGCAAAGAATTTCCTCTTAAATAGCATTTATAGCTAATATAGCTAATTCTTTGCGCGCTAAGTGTAATCTAGGCTATATTTACATAAACTAGCCTAGTATGTTTATAAAGTGTTATTTAAAGCTTAAAGTAAAGTTTTAAGTGTAAGTATAGTTAAAAGATATTTAGCTAATTATAAACCTTATTTTACTAAAGTTGTACATGTTATTATCCTAAATGCTATACTTAGCTTTAATATTTTTTATAAGGCTAAACCTACTTTAAATTACTCTAGAACTTTTATAAAAAGCTCTTTTATAGTTATACTTACGCTTAAATGTTACTTTAAGCTTTAAATAACACTTTATAAACATACTAGGCTAGTTTATATAAACATACTAGGCTAGTTTATATAAACATACTAGGCTAGTTTATATAAACATAGTCTAGATTACGCTTAGTGTGTAAAGAATTAGCTATATTAGCTATAAATGCTATCTAAAGGGAAATTCCTTGCGCATATAGCTTAAGTATAGTCTTAATAATTACTTGCTCTTTTTTATTACCTAGCCTTTATAATTTAGCTGTAGAATTAGCTTGTAAAGGTTATCTAGTACTATAGTTATTTATTATCTTTTATAGAACTTTATATATAGCTGCAGCATGTTTCTTTAAAAGTTTTATATCTTATTTAAAAGCTTAGAGTGTAAGCTGTATCTAATGTTCTTTTAGCGCGTCTAAGTAGTGTTGTGGGGAATGCATTAGTGTAGGAAAAGTAGTTTAGTAGGGTCTTAGCAAAAGTAAGCAACTTAGGTGTGTAAGCAACTCGCCTGTGAAGTACGTTAAGCGCTAAGCTAAAAACCATATATATAACTAAATTACTTATATTATAAAAATAAAGTTTTTACTATACTGTAAAGTAGCTAATAATACTATAATTACTTTTAGTAATATTTAAGAAAGGTTTTAAAGCGCTATATTAGTTCTGTTTAACCTATAATAAGTTATAATAGGCTTTAATATAAAGTTGTGCACTTTATTACTACTACTACTTATATATAATAAGCTCTACTAGTTATAAACTCTAAGTAATACTCTAAAACTTAAGTTATAATTAATGCTTATAAAAATAAAAATTTAAAAGCATATGAATAGTTTACTAACTTTTATAGTTAAAGTGTTTAAAAAAGTTTTAGAAAGAGTAGTAATAATTATATATAAGTTAGTGTTAGTGTAATAGAAAATTACTAAGCTTTAAGCAGCTAATAAAGTTACTATATAATATAAATTATGTCGCGTATACTAAGAGCCTTGGCTGGGGCTCAGAGCCTGGGACGCAGCTTGGGATCTGGAGATATTATGTTCCGAAGCTTAGTGTATATAAGGAGAGCCTTGAGCTCTCTTAGATAGCAGAGTCACTTTATTTAATCTTCTAAACAGCTACTGCTAGGCTATTTTATCCTCTACAGTTATAGGCCTAGCGCTTTAAGAACCTAGGATAATTTTTTTTATATAACTATAGCGCTAGTAAAAGCTATTTAGAAGCTTTATTTTTTATTTTTATTTATTTTTATTACTTTCAAAGCCTATATTATAGCTAATTAAGATGCTTCTCTCTTAACAGAAGTGTACTAGCTTAAGGACTACACAAGCTAGCCTCTCTAGTTTATCTAGCTCTAGTTCTATACTCTTAGCAAAAACCTATAGAACATAATTAATCTAAATAGACTAGACGCTCTAACTTGTAAAGATAGGATAGTAGGTAGCATGGATAGCACTAAGAGCAAGCTTTTAGAGAAAGATAGAAGTGTATTGTAAGAGAGAAGAATCGCTGCCAGGCCTAGCTTGTTAGGATTTGTGCTTATATACGAAGCACAGGTCATGTGACCTCCAAACAGGCTAGGGAGGCTATACTAGCCCGTTCTAGGACATCCGGCCTTATATAAATCTTATAAACAGCGCTCTAAAAATGCCTACACTTAAAGTAATTACTACTAAAAACTCTTTAAAAAAGGCTAATATATAGTACTAAACTAATATTACTAAGTACTAAGCTTACTTAAGTAACTAGGCTTTCTATATAACGCGTTTTTAGATAATCTAAAACTAGGTTAATATAACTATTACACTAAAGCTTTTTAGACCTATAATAATATAGCTTATATTAAAGAACTAATTTACTCTATAAGCACTTATATAAGCTTTAAAATAAAAGCTAGCACTAATAA